TGGAGGACACAGGGCCGGGTGAGCCGAGGAGAGGGGCCCCAGAAGTAACCACACCTGCCCTACCTTGATCTTGGACTTCGAGCCTCCAGAACTGCGAGAAAATACATTTCTATTGATTTAAGCCACGCAGCCTGTGGTATTTTATGATGGCCGCCCAGGCGAACTCATATAGGAGGCACCTCTTTATTTTTTTAGTTATTTATTTTTTTAAATGTTTTATTCATTTCTGAGAGAGAGAGACAGCATGAGCAGGAGAGGGTCAGAGAGAGGGAGACACAAAATCCAAATCAGGCTCCAGGCTCTGAGCTGACAGCACAGAGCCTGATGTGGGGCTTGAACCCATGAACCGAGAGACCATGCCCTGAGCCGAAGTCAGGAGCTTAACTGACTGAGCCACCCAGGCGCCCCAATAAGCCTTCGCTTTAAATTGATGATGAGTTTTTAGGAATTTTCTTTAGAGAGAGTCCAGTCTCAAGAGCTCTCTGTAAACACATTGCAAAGTCAAGTGGACCTGAGCTAACCGCCCCCCCCCCCGGCCCCCCCGCCCCCAGGTAACCTCAAGCACATACCATGTGCTCTGTGAAGTGGAGGCATTTGGAGGCACTGTCCTCCCCGCCCCTCCCCCCCTTTTCCTTTAGCTTGAGAGAGTTCCCTGGAGTCGCATACCCATGTTGTGCCTTGTATGGTTTGTTGCTGGTTCATGTCACTTGGATCGTGCAAGATTAATGAGGTGAGAATTCTAATAGTCGCTCCCCACTACTGCGCGCTGATCAGGTGGCCAGCACTATTCTAGAGTTTTAAGTGGATTTCCTGTTTCTCCTGACAGCCCTAGTTTATAGAGGAGGAGACTGAGGAACGGAGCGTCTTTTTCCTTTTAGACCGGTATCGGTTTAGAATGACAAAGACTTCCTTTCCATTTTTTAAAAGGCTCATTTTAATTTGAACTAGTGTCAGCAAGTTGCACTTTATGACCTGTCTTGATGACTTCTACCCTTTGACTTTGTCATATCTATTCAGGGCAGGCGGAGTTTCTTGAGGGGGAAAGGATTGAAGGTTTGTGAGACCTAGTAATTTGGAGACGAGTATGTGTGAATTCCACTGTTACTTGTGAAGGCCGATTGTTTGCAGAAATGATGTGACAGAGAGGAAGATTCTAGAAACTTCACATCACCGGAATAGCTGTGAATTCTTCAGAAACATAGTGTCTGTTTTCAGAGTTACATGTTTATTCTCATTTTCTTTTTTCTCTTTAATGTTTATTTATTTATTTGGAGGGGGGAGGGACAGAGGGAGAGAGAGAATCCCAAGCAGGCCGTTAGCACTTGGTATTGTCAGTGCAGAGCCCTAAGCGGGGGCTTGATCCCACCAACTGGGAGATTGTGACCTGAGCCAAAGTCAAGAGTCAGATGTTCAACCGATGGAGCTACCCAGGCGCCCCTCCGATTTTCTTTCTTACCCTATGTGAGACCTGTTCATGCTCATGGTGAGAGAGTGCAGAGTATCCCTTTCCAGAATGTCTACACTCAGCCTGTAAAAGGAAATAATCTGATTCTGAATGCTTTTTAAAGCTTTTGTATAGTCAGTCCCCATAAAAGTCCAAATATAAAACTGGAGACCTCCCTCCCCCCGCCCCCACCACAATTCCCTCCCTCATTCTTCTCCCCAAACTAGAGGCTCCTGGAGGCTCTCATACAAGGAATGACACTGTCGTGTCCTGATAAATCACATAACCGGGTAGTAAGCACGTAAGACCGCTTGTACTACTTGGCAGGGTTCTTTCCCCCCTAAATAAGCTGCGTTTTAAAATTATGCATATACATGCAGACATGCCTACACAGTAACTCACAGAAAAGTATGCAGATCCTACATGCACAGCTCCGCGAATTTTCACAAAGCGAACACCCTCCTGTAGCCAGCGGGAAAACAGGCTTCCGCCACAGGAGCCTTCTCAGGCTCCCTACCCCCGCACCTTACCCTGTGTCCCGACTTCGTAGTGCAGGGTTTGCTTTTGCCTGGTTTTGAACTTTCTTTAAACATGGCAGTCATGTGCCACGTGCTCCCTCAAGCCTGACTTTTCTTGCACCACAAGCTCAGTGATTCAACCATGTCACGTGTGTTGTGATTTGTGCATCCCTATTGCTGTTTGTAGTCATCCTGTGAATAGATCATGATCAATCATGACCTGAGCTGAAGTCAGTCGCTCAACAAACTGAGCCACCAAGGCACCCCGCTTCACCTCTCCTTTTTTTTTTTTTTTTACTGTTTAGTTATTTTGTGTGTGAGAGAGAGAGAACACAAGCAGGGGAGGGGTAGAGAGAGAGGGAGAAACAGAATCTGAAGCAGGATCCAGGCTTTGAGCTGTCAGCAGAGCCCCACACGGGGCTTGAACTCACAATCCTTGAGATCATGACCTGAGCCGAAGTTGGATGCTCAACCAACTGAGCCCCCCCCCCCCCGCCCCCGCCGGCGCCCCCCGCTTCACGTCTTGATGGATGTTTGGGCTGTTTCCCATTTGGGCTGTTAAGAATAATGCTCACACATATCTGTTGGTACATGTATTACGTGGCTTTGCTGGGCCCTGGGTCTATTTGTATGTAACTTTAGAAGATGGTAATTTTCCCAAGTGTTTGTATTAATTTGGGCTTCTTTGGCCGGGAGAGTTCTAGGTGTTAGCACTTGGTATTATCTGTCTCCTTCATTTCAGCCATCCTCATGGGAGGGAATACAGTGCTATCACAAGAACTGTGTCTTTTATGATTTATTTGAGAGAGGCCGCCTTCTCTTAATCTGAAGGTGAGCTGTGAACTTAGAGGTTAGCCAAGCTGTGGGAACCCTGAGCCTAAGTTTGGCAAAATGGTCCCCTCCTGGTGGCTTTCCTTTCCAACCAAACACCTTCTTAAGTAGTTTTACACTAGAAGAGAAGGGTAAAGGTATATAAAATTTATTGTCTTCTAATTGTAAAATGAACGTATGTGTAATAAGAAAAATCAGTGGAGAGGAGAACACTAGTGTCAATTTTCCCTTCAAAGACAGCTGCCCTTAATGCTGACATCTTAGATGCTCTAAACATGTCAGATGTACTGATTTCTCCCTGCCTTGTTTCTGTATGTACAGTGTTCTATGAATTATAACCATGTAGCACATGTGTTTTTACTTCCTGTTGTTTTCTCTGTATCATGAGGTGCTTTGTAAATGACATTTTTAATGGCAACATACTATTTCTTTGAGTAGCTGTGGCGAATTTGCTTTAACCAGTGCCCTATGTTTTCACAAGTTGTTTCTTATTTTAGTTTCACTTTTAAAACATATACTTTTAAAATTTTATGGAGGTGGGGGTGGTTGGAGAGAATCTTAAGCAGGCTCCATGCTCAGCACAAAGCCAGACGCAGGGCTCGATATCATGACCCTGGGATCAGGAGCTGAGCTGAAATCAAGAGTCAGACACTCAAACGACTGAACCACCCAGGCGCCCCGGGGTTTCACTTTTTAAATGTTTTCATTCTGAATGCCGGCCCTTGAATCAGAGGCGCCCCAGAGACACACGGAAGGAAAGCTGAGGGAGGCACAGACCCCGGGCCCTGGGAAGTCATCTGTCTGGGACCGGATGAGCCCAGTCTGCAAGGTGAATCCCAGAACAGCAGTGCTTCCTCCGGGGGAGACACTGGAAACTCAGCGTGAGTTTTGTATATTTCAGAGGCTCACGGTTCCTTCACCCCACAAGTATTTGCCAAGCACCTGCCCTGCCCCAGGCACGGTTGTTGTTGTTGTTCTTTTAATGTTTACTTATTTATTTGAGAGAGAGAGAGAGAGAGAGAGTCAGAGAATCCCAAGCAGGCTCTGCTCTTCAGCGCAGAGCCCAGTGCAGGGCTTGAACTCATGAACCGTGAGATCATGACCTGAGCTGAAATCAAGAGCCGGATGCTTCACCGACTGAGCCCCCCAGGCACCCCTCACAATAAACTTAAAAAAGAAAAAAAGAACAGAATGTTTTACGAGGCTAGAATCTCCAGGTCACTGGGTTAAATGGGACAGATGACTGCACGTTCAGGGGCTCTAACTAGGCCTTACTAAGGGGCTTTCTGGAAGGGCTTTGCCATTTTACGCCCTATGAAAGCCAGAGTTGCCCTATGTTCCAGGGTCAGGATACGGTCGATGACCTTCTTCACCCACCATTTTTGTTTTGCCTTTTGTTAGTGCGTGCCCATGAGATTGGGGAAGTTTTTTAAAAAAAAAAGGAGCGCCTGGGAGGCTCAGTCGGTTAAGCATCGGCTCTTGATTTCAGCTCCGGTCATGATCTCACGGGCCATGGGCTTGAGCCCCACTTCGGGCTCTGTGCTGGCAGCGTGGAAGCTGTATCTGCATGGGATTCGCTCGCTGTCCCCCTCTCTGTCCCTGCCTCACTCGTGTGTGTGCATGCACGCTCTCAAAAAAAGCGAAGTCTCAAAAACTTTAAAGAATAAAAAAAACACATGTGTTTCTATTTACCACAGATTTATTATTTATGTTTCTCGATGTGTGTGGGAGGGAGGCGAGGGGGGAGGAGCACAGAAGAAGCCTCTGGTTGGTTGAGCAGATGCTCATTACACAAGAAAGCCCCCGCGGCTGTCCCCTCTGTCCCCGGGGAAGTGGGACCTCTCGCAGTGTTCTGTTTGGTGTGTTTGGGAGTATTCTGTACAGATTTGTTGAATACAAAGCCTTCCTGTGTAAGTAGCTCCTGACAAAGCTGTGTAGACCCCAGGGCCAAGTGCAGTGATGATGCCTGCAGCCCGGGCTGGCATCCCCCGCCCCCCTGTGAGTGCTGCTCCCCACCTGAACTGTCACTGTGCTGTGACCCTCAGCAGCTCGGCCACCTGACCTCCCGACAAGGGGCCTGTGTTGTAACCTCCGGCTTTCACAAGCGAGCGCCCTAGGCAACCTCTCCCCTGGCCTTCCCTCCCCTCCCCTCCAGGGCTGTCTCGGTGCCAAAGCCACGCCCGAGGGGGGAGCGATGCGATGCCACCGCGGCTGCTCGTCTCCACGGGAGCAGGGAGGGGCCGGAGCCGAGGCCGGGACGGGAGGAGGTGACAGCCTCCCCGGCCTGGGTGCGGAGGATCCTCAGGGGTGGAGAACACCGATTCAAGACTGGCTTGGCGTGGTGGTTTGGGCTCTGGCCCCTCCTGGCTCTATGACCTTGGGCAAGTGAGTTCCCCTCCCCGGGAGTGAGCGCGCTGCCAGTGCCCGGCGGGGTTGAGGCGCAGTGGCGCGGGATGCGGAGACCCCAAGCCCGTGGCCGGTGGGGAGGAGTGGCAGTGGGTGCTGTCGTTGAGGCTGGCGTGTTGGAGGGGAGCGGGGACCCTCGGTCTGTGTTCTGCTGTGTCCCAGTCACGGGGCTCCTCCCTAGCCTGCTGTCTAGACGGTTCAGATCCTGCCCAGGGGTGAGGTCCCCGGATGCTGGGGGGTGGGTGGGTCAGAGTGCTGGCTCGAAGGGCAGCCTGCTGGACTTCCAGCTGGTGGGCCTGCCCTCACCTGCTGCAGGGACCCTGCCGAGGCTGGAGGGACGCGGTTCCGCGGGCTGTGGTGTTAGGAGCCACGAGCAAATGGCCCGGACCAAGTGTAGCCGCAGGCGGCAAGGCAGCGGGTCCCTGGGTGCTGAGGCCCAGGGGAGGCTTCTCCACGCACACGGGCGGCCCGCCTTCTGTGCACCAGGTCCCGGCCTTCTGACCCCGGGCGTGGGGCCCAGAGCCGTGAGCTGTGCAAGTTAAAAAAGAAAAAAAGCAGTCACCACACACTTCACCTCACTGTTTAAAAGGCACAGAAGTGTGTCCATTGTACACGTAGTCTCCCTCCAGCTCCCCCCACTTAGCTACCCTGTCCCCCTCCAGAGGCAGCCAACTACCAATTTCTTCTGTGTCGTTCTAGAGAGTTTTTAACCATTTCCCCAAAAAAGGCCCATGTATTTTACATTTATCTATTTAGATACACACAGAGAGATTTTTAGCTTTTTTAAAAAAATTTTTACACTTATTTTTGAGAGACAGAGACAGCACAAGCAGGGGAGGGGCAGAGAGAGAAAGGGAGAGGGAAGGGGAGGGAGGGAGACACAGGATCTGAGGCAGGCTCCCGGCTCTGAGCTGTCAGCACAGAGCCCATCGTGGGGCTCGAACGCATGAATCCCCAGGAGATCATGACCTGAGCTGAAGTCCTACCTACCTTTTTTGTTCAGTTGCTAGTATACCTCACACAATACAATGTATTTCTTCTACTGAACCTTACATACTGGGCCTGTTCCATAGCAGTGAATAAAAAGCTTTTTCCTCCCCCATTTATTTATTTAATTATTTAATATTTTTATTTATTTCTAGGAGAGAGAGAGAGTGACAGCGTGAGCAGGGGAGGGTCAGAGAGAGAGGGAGTCACAGACTGAAACAGGCTCCAGGCTCTGAGCTGGCAGTCAGCACAGAGCACGACGCGGGGCTCGAACCCAGGAACCGCGAGATCCTGACCCAAGCGAAAGTCGGACGCTTAACCGACTAAGCCACCCAGGCGCCCCATTTTCCTCCCCTTTTTAAAGAAATGGCTTTAAAGGATTTCATTGAACAGACTTACCGGACTTGTGTTATAACCAGTGTACTGCTGATGGACACCTACGTTATTTCTGATGGTTTGTTACTGCAAGCAGCGTTACGGTGAATGGCGTTGAACATCAGTCTTTGTGCCCGTGGCAGGTAGGACGTCTGGGATATCTTGAAGAGGAATCTTTGGGTTAAAGAGAATGTATTTGTAACTTTGAGAGCTGTTGCTAGGTTACCCTCCCTCTGGGTTCTACTGATTTGGACACTGCACCCCACCCCAGCTGTAAAAATGTCCATTTGCCCATCCTGACCAACACAGGTGTTATTAAGCTTTTTGATTTTGGTGATCATGCTAAGTAAAAACTGCTGCCTCAGTGTGGTTTTAGTTTTGCATAAAATTTAAACATTGCATCAGTTACCAACATTTCAAAACTGAGGGTTTGGGCTTCAAAAATCTGTGCTGTTTGTCTTTGTCATGAAGAATCTTACGATCTGTCGTGTTAGACTTGCGTGAGAATGTATGTTGGGCAAGGTGGGGTGGCCACTTCCCTCCCACGCCTCTAGGCTCCGCAGCGAGCCTTGTCCCACTGGACCCCGTGTTTGTTTTTGTTCGTGTATTTACTGTATGTTGCTTGCTGGGTGTCTGTAGGTTTGAGTTTTCCAGAAAGAAGCAAGCAGGTAAAGTGGAAGGTAGAACACACTGCTTTCTCTTCTGTTTGTGAAGCGCTCGGTTTTGAAGGCCGCGTAGAAGAGGAGGAAGGGGTTGCCCCAGGAAATCGGATGCGGAGTCCTGCAGAGGGCTCGGAAGTGGGTGGAAAGTAGAGCAGAGCTCCGGAGCTCCCTTGCCGTGGCTGCAGTCAGGGGCTCGATAGGGCTTGATAACCGAGGGCCCGGGATGAAAGGTGACGGACTTGGACTCGAGTCAACAGTGGTTGACTCATGGTGGGGGCAGGACGCAGCATGAGTCAGACTTGGGTGAGAGGTGTGCTGCGCTGCTGAGCGGGGGGAGACCGGGGGGGAGCGACTTACCCTGAAGGAGAAATAGGGAAGGCGACAGGTCCCACCCCCCGTGACTGCCCCCTTCTCCCAAGAGAACCAGAGTTAACGTTCTGGGGAGAGTGTGTGTGTGTTTCTCAGTATTATTTTCCCATTATATATTGTCATGCTATTATTATTAAAGCACAGGATAATAAATTGCATGTCTTTTGCTTTAAGATTTTTTCCCCTCCCAGCTCATCGCCTTGGATCTTACCCTGACTGCGTGTGCGTCTGCCTTACTCTTTTAATTGCTGCGGGTCCGTTGCGTGGTGCTTCCTCTCTGAATGGGCATTTGTTCCTCTCCAGGGTCTGGCTTTCTTGCCGCTGTGAGCTTCCTAGCATCTTGCCCATTGCTGACCCACACTAGAGTCCGTATCCAATACATCCCTCCAGATAGACTTGCTGGATCAGAGGAACTTGCCACATTGGCTTGGCTTTTTCCTTTGATACGACCCAGTCTTTGCTCCAGCCAGTAGCCTTGCTAGGGCTAGAGATACATTCAGATCAGACTTCAGCGAACTAGCTTCCTTTTATGCATTCTTTCTGATTTAACATTTTATTTTTAATTTTAATTTTTAAAGATTTAATTTAATTAAAAATTTTTTAATGTGTATTTTTGAGAGAGAGAGAGAGCACGAGCAGGGGAGGGGCAGAGACACACACACACTCTCTCTCTCTCTCTCTCTCTCTCTCTCTCTCTCTCCGAAGCAGGCTCCAGGCTATGAGCTGTCAAGCCAGAGCCTGATGTGGGGCTTGAACCCACAAACTGCGAGATCATGACCTGATCCAACCGAGGTTGGATGCTTGACTGACTGGGCCACCCAGGCGCCCCAAGATTTTATATATTTTTAAAAGTAATCTCTATACCCAGTGTGGGGCTCAGACTCACAACGCCAAGATCAAGTGTTACATGCTTTACCAGCTGAGCCAGCCAGGCACCCCTGAGTGCAGATTTTATATTACCCTAGTTTAAAAAAAAAAAGCCTCCTAGATGTTTCTAGAACACAGAGCAAAAATATCCCTCATACCTTCCTTTCCAGGTCTTCTAGCACCCGCTCCCCAGGCATCTGTGTTTATTAACAGCTTGAGTTCCGTTCTTCCAGACCTGTGGTCTGGTGTGTTACACACCAGCCATAGGCAGCTATTTAAATTCATTAACAGAATACAATCTAAAAGTCACATTTTGAGTGCCCAACAGCCGCACGTGGCTAGTGGCTGCTGTGTGAGACGCTGCAGGTAGAGAACATGCCCATCACTGCAGCAGTGCTGCTCCAGCCTGGGTTTTCAGACTCAGGACTCTTGGCATTTGGGGCCGGGCCTCCTCTGTGTGGGGCTGTACTGTGCGTGGTACCCACTAGATGCCAGTCATACCTCCCGCACCTGCAGTTGTGACCACCAACTGGATCTCCAGACATGGCCATGTGTCCCCAGGGCAGGGGGCAGATCCCTGCCCCTTCCCACCCTGTGCAGAGGCGTCGCCTTACACTGCTCTTTCTATATTGATTGTATGTATGTATGTATGTGTGTATTTATTTATTAAAAGTTTTTTTTAATGTTTTATTTCTGAGAAAGAGACAGCGTGAGCAGGGGAGGGTCAGAGAGAGAGGGAGATACAGAATCTGAAACAGGCTCCAGGTGCTGAGCTGCTGTCAGCACGGAGCCTGACGCGGGGCTCGAACCCACGAACGATGAGATCATGACCTGAGCCGAAGTTGGATGCTTAACTGACTGAGCCACCCAGGCGCCCTGTATTTATTTATTTTTTTAATGTTTTTTTTTTATTTCTAGGAGAGAGAGAGACAGCGTGAGCAGGGGAGGGTCAGAGAGAGAGGGAGTCACAGACTGAAACAGGCTCCAGGCTCTGAGCTGGCAGTCAGCACAGAGCCCGACGCGGGGCTCGAACCCGCGAACCGCGAAATCATGACCTAAGTGAAAGTCGGACGCTTAACCGACTAAGCCACCCAGGCGCCCCNCCTGAGCGAAAGTCGGACGCTTAACCGACTGAGCCACCCAGGCGCCCCTGTATTTATTTATTTTTAAAGTAACGTATTGTCAAGTTAGCCCACTCCATATTGCTTTTCATCTTTCTGTACACTCTTCCTGGCTCTTCCCAGCATCAACGCGGCGACTGGGGCTTCCTGGACTCTGGCTTCAGGAAAATTCCGCAGTACCATGCAGGCAGGGCAGCAAATATTTACTGAGGGCCGGCCGATCGGGGCTCCACCCGGAGCTGAGATGTTCCCTCCGTCGCAGGCCAGCCCCTTGCTACAGTAGTTGCCTTTCCCGGAAACACGGCTCCCTTGGTGCTTCCCTCCATAACCTTTGCTTTTCCCTTGCCTTTCAGCCAGATCGTGTGAAACCCCCTCACATGTGGCTGTCCGCCAGCAAAACCTTCCTTTGCTTTAGTCAGATCATAAGAAAAATTTGCTTGAGGTTTCCTTTGTTTAAATGGTCTAAGCTAAAAGCAGCGTAAACTAAACTGTTTCTCGCCTTCCATCTCACCCTAGTCGAATAGCTGGTGCTGTCAGCAGGTAAAAACATTGTTTCATGGTTTTTGTTTTTGTTTTTTTTAATCTGGAAAAGTAACTT